AACAAACATATATAATACTGACTAAAATTTCCGACTGTAATTTCTTATCTCTTATTTTTGTTTAGAGGTAAAGCTATTTTGTGTACAAGGCGATCATGTTATTATCGTTCAGCGTTTTTCCTGGAAATAATAAACATAGAAAAAAATTATACTACTTTCTATGAATCATAGAACATGACAGTTTATAGTTTTTGTTATTCTACTTTTTGCAGAGAAATCAAGATGAAATCAAGAAATCAAGGTTTCGTTTTTCTGATCTCGAAAGCCATTGTAGAGTACATTCTTGGATTTATCTTCTGGCATATTTTCATATGATACAAACAAAACACATTTTAAAACGTTCCATTTAAAAATTAAACTTCGATTTTTCTAAACAAATGCAATGACAAAAAATATACGTATAGTATTATGTTACTTCAACATGATTCAAAAAATAATGCATCTTTTTCCTTGCATACTATATTTGTAAAAGTTTATAAAAGGAATATTGTAAGAAGAAACTTTGATCTTCAAGACCATGGTGGATTTAATTACGGAAAAGATTGTTCAGTGTGCGAAATTTTTGAGAGAAAAGGTATCAATATTCAAAATGATGCGAAATCATCTTTGGAAGAAACTCAATACTGCGATAGCAGAGGTTATAGTTAACCTCTTGCACTGGAATGACGCACGTCGAGAATTTTCGTCCCAAAATTGCAATATTTTCTCAGTTTTAAGTATATTTAAGTATAACCAAATACACAGGCAAAACAAATAATAAATTTTTTACTTTTCAGTAATTTCTATCGAGTGCTATTACACCAACGAATTCAAAAAGAAAGCGACGAATTATTATGTACGATTTGGTCACTCGTTATGGTCCGCAATCAGTCCGCCAGCACAAGTGGTTAACCTCTTACGCTGGAATGGCGTGCCACGTTCAGAATTTTTTGTCCCAAAATTGCAATATTTTCTCAATTTTAAGTATATTTAAGTATAACCAAATGCACAGGCAAAACAAATAATAAATTTATTACTTTTCAATAATTTCTATCCAGTGGTATCATATCGACGAGTTTAAAAAGAAGGCGACGAATTGTCGTACACGGTTTAGTCACTCGTTATGGTCCGCAATCAGTTGCCAGCGCAAGTGGTTATAACTCTCTTGCACTAGTAATTGGTTCACAGACCATACAATAATTCTTCTTTTTTAATTAATCGATATGTCACTGGATAGAAATTACTAACAAGTAATAAATTTATTATTTGTTTCGCCTGGGTTATATCTCAATATACTTAAAACTGAGAAAATATTGCAATTTTGAGCAATATTTTCGAGGTGCGTGGCACGTCATTCCAGCGTAAGAGGTTAAAAATGAATCTAGGTAGTGTACTACTGTACTATATCCATTGTTCCTTCGAATTTAAGATTTTACATGGAATAGTTTATCTTTCAAGGATCTTGTAAATTGTATCATATATCAATTTCTCTACTTTTATACTTTTATAGTTGATCGATTTGATAAACGAACGGCTCAAATATCAGAACCAAAAAGTGTCTCGAGAATTTTGAGCGACAGTGTGTGTTTCTCAAGCACTCTCAAATACCACAAGTATTTATTTTTTTCTGAAGAAATCACTATATTAGTAAGACGCCGCGGGGTTCTTGAACCTAAAAAAGTCTATCGTAGGAGTTGTCGTTGTCGTCGTCGTTCATTTACCAGTGAAAGTTTGCGAAGAAAGCTACACGGTATTCTCTAGCCTGTCCTCGCCGCGTCGAAAGTGGTGAACGCGCACGCAGCAATTGAACTCGGCAATATAGGGTTCCTTCCAGGAAACGGCACGCGAGAAGAGGGGCCATTGACACTCTTGGATTTTCAAGATCGTGCCAGACTCTCTCTTCCTCCTTTCCTTTTTACTTTCCTCTCGCGTCGAGACGACGAAAATATACAACTTGCTAAATTGGTAGTTCTCAGTACAAAAACAGATGCAGACAGTTCAACGCTGCAACTATCGACAAATAAAACATCAAAATTAAAGTGCCAGAAGGAAAAATGTATAATGCAATGAAAAATACATTTAGCTTTTAATAAAAAATCATTCAAATCTCTAAAAATACTTTGATATAAATATATAAAATACTTTGATATACTTTGATAAATATATAGTGTACAATATATATGATATACTTTCAATAAGTATATATTTCCGTGGAAAATTATAATTATTTATGTATCTATATAATTATAGATAATATATTATATATATATTTTATATTATTATAATATATATTTATGAATATTGTATAAATATAATTACAAATGATTATGCTATTAAATAGAAAAGTCTCATTTTGTATTTTGCAACATCAGCAGTTAAACTGCAAAACTTTTAAGAAATAATTTAACAAAAGAACAATTTAGCATAAATAATATAATCTTAATAATAAAGCACTATCAAAAAGTAATTTTAATTGATGATTATTCATTATCTTTTAAAACATTTCGTGGCATCGATTACAGTTTCTGTTCTCCATGTGAGCTCACTTCCCAAACGATTACATTTGCACATCGACTAAATGTTTCAGGTCGATATGAGAACGAGCATCAAAAGCTTGTAGTTGCCTAAGAACATTACGTACACACATTCTGTGTTAAATGTATTCTAAGAACGTTGCTGTTGGCAATAATTTCATTTCAAATTTCCTTCGCCTTGTTAGTTTAATGTTACAACGTTTAATTCAAAGTGCATGTTAATCGAGATATTATTTGCAAAATACCATAATTCGTGCAATTCGTGTCGATTTTGTTTTAAACGAAGAATTCTTTTTCCCTTTGATAAATCTAGAAAATTTTACGCAAACACGAGTTAAAATTAAAATTGAAATTAAGACAGATGTTACGTCGGAAATCTCCATTTTGTAGAATATTTATTCACTTTCTTTAGAATTGGAATTAATTTTAAGTATTAAGTATTTCAAATACGAACACCAAATATGATGATATACAAAAACGAAGTAGTTTAAAATGTTAACTCGTTTTTTCTTTTTTTTCAATTAAAATATAAAACAGATTAAAAGAATAGAAATGATCTGCCAAAGTTTCAAATACAAAGTAGTAGTTTTGAAATGAATCGTCTTCAATCTCCGAGCATTGCACATCTAAGCAATTTTTCCATTCTGACACCGACACTCTTCTTTTGAGAAGAAACATTTAATAAATATTTGTTTAATCCTTTTTTTCATATAGAAAGATACAATTTCCACATTATCGATATCGCGTTAATACTTGACGAAGAACAAGTTTTGTTCAACTTGAGCTGCTGGTATATTTTGAAAGTGGCATAAGTCGCTTTGTTTTTGATGGAGGTTAGGTTTGTACATGGTGGAAAATGATTGTTCACTCGATGAAAAATTTGTAATATACTTTTAATTAAACTATCTACATAACATTAAAAAAAAAAATAATCCATGTTTTACTGTAACACTGTAACACAAAATAATAATCTTTTAATTTTCTTTGATTTGGTTTTTACCTTTACTTTTTTTTACCGAATCGCATGTAATTTTTACTCTTTCTCATCTCACAGCCTCTCTCTCATTCATCATTCATACCAACTGATCAAAAAATCAATTGTTACCAACAGTTGTTAAATCGAAATATTTAAGGATTTATGTTTTAACTTGTTTAGAAAAATTGATGCCAACTTTCGAGAAAATTTACTTGTATTTGTTATCTCGGATATTTGTATCTTTCTCAGTCGTAAATAATCGCACAGATGTTAACGAAACGCCACTTTTCGTTACTGTACCATTTTCAAAGTAATTTCAAAGTAAAGCTCGTAAAAATTATTGACTTGCGTTAATTTTACCGAATTGACGTTTGATAAAACAGTAATTTAAGAAAATTGAATAAATCGTATGACAAAAGTAATTTATATAACGTATTTCATACTTTGGTCAAAAATTTTCTTATTGTAATTAATATTCATAAAATAAAATTCATTAGTGCATTTCGAAACCCCAAGTATAAGTAATTTATATAACGTATTTCATATAAAAGTTTACTCTTTAAATTGAATCATCGTTAATAGGAATAATTAAGTTCTTTGGACATCTCATTTTGTCTCTAATTTTTAAAATAACTGTGGTGAATTGAGGATATATAAGGAAGCAAATCCATCATATCTTTATGTTTTGTTTTACGAGCATTTGCGCATAGAGGAGGATCCATTTCTATTTGTGAACAATGTCTTGGTTCTCCTCTTTTTGGTGACAAATCCAATTCACAACAAATCACCATTTTTTATCATTTTCACTCTGAAGCCATTTTCAAAATAAATATTTCGTTAATTACCTAAATTTTTGTCAGAAAAAAAAAATCTCAGAAAAAGTGATTTCTATAATATTGACCGCAAATTATTGTAAAGTTGAATTGTAATCTAATTGCTAACTGGATCGTCTTGAGATGACTTGTGCTACTTTCAAGATAAACGGAATTCATTTATGCGCGTTGTACAGGGTGTCCATAAAGTCTCTTTACAATTTCAAAAATTTATTACAATGGCAAATGAAAAGACAGATAAGTGAAAATTATTACAAAATGAGACGTATATATTTAAGTTTTGTTTTTTTCCACATTTAATACATCTTTAGTACCGTCTTGATGTGCTTCGTGCAACTAATGATGCCCATATAGAGGTGTATTAAATGAGGCAAGAAAAAAAAAAAAAAAACTTAAATATACATTTTGTAATAATTTCCACTTATCTGCCTTTTCATTTGCTTTCGTAATAAATTTTTCAAATTGTAAAGAGACTTTATGGACACCGTGTGTATGTCGATCGGATATCGTAATCAACAGGAGAAGAAACACACCGTGGAAAGCTTACAAGTTACTCAACGGTCGGGGAATATTACGTATACACATGCGTTCCGCGACTTCCGCGTTGCAGGTTAATCAACTGGCTGTGTACGGGCCCCCAGGGCGGCGTGCACTCTCCTTTCTTTCACCGGTGCTTTCGTTCTGCCTCGTTCCGCGACGTCCCCGCCGCATTGTACTATGGATTACACAGCGATGGCTCAATCGCGATATCCTCACCGCTCTTGCTAAACTGAAAATACCTGTGCACGTAAAAGGTTGCGCGCACGTTACTCGCGGTTGCTTTGACACCGGCGTCTTTCTCTCTCACCTCCTTTTCCTTCACCAATTCTCTCGTAACCATCGATGGATCTCGTGTAATTTGCTCGAACGATGACGCGTGCGCGCGATAAAATCGGACACGAGGCTGATGAGAGAGTTGGACAACGATCCTGGTTTATTCTTCGAAGATGACGCATTCCGTGGAACGAGAATGAGGCATACGAAATCAAAGGAAGGGTCTCGAGAACCATTGAAATGTGACCAAACGCGGTCACACATCTACTTTCTTTCTTTCTCTTCTTTTCCTTTCACACTCGTTTTACAGTCAACTATTGAGAAATTATGTAGAGATGCGGGACTTTAAAATAAAAAAAGTTCAATTGTTTCAACTTTTTTTTTTTAAACTGTTGTATCTTTGATATTTGTGAATTGCAACACTTGGAAAAAAAAATGCAAGAAATCATCTTTTTATTAACATAAAGTCAGTCAAGAACTTAGTTAATTCCAATGTATCCTGGAACAAGTAAAAATTCAAGATATACGGTGACATAAAGATACATCAAACTCTATCAATTACTTACAAATAACTTGATATAACATAAAATTTCTTCATGTATTATTAAAAAGTAATTGGAACACGTAACAGTTTATTTCTTAAATATAAATCAAGAAACAGTCGCCTACATTCTACGTGAAAACCAGGTTTTCTTGTATATACATACAAATGTCACAATAGAAAGTTCTTCTTCCTCTCCTAGGACCACGAGAGCTTTCGTTTTGACATTTTCTTAACAAATTCAGGCAATATTTTTAACAAATGATTTAACATTTAATTCAATCAAGTAACTTATATATCTTATAACGTTTGCCCATTGCACAATAGATTTCCCCAAATTAAAGTTCTAAAAAGAAACAGAAAAAAGAGTAGTTAGAGCGAAGAGTTAATAATTAAACCTAAATGTAGAAACTAACTAATTCATCCTTGAAATTATCATTGTACATGTTACTAATCTTTCTGATGTGACAATAGACAAGATACATTCGTAATTACATATATTTATGTAATATATATAAATATATAAAATTAAATATAATATAAAATATATAAGATTAAATAATATAAATATACAGATTATAAGATCTTATAAATATATAAGATTAAATTATATAAAGAAGACTAATCAAAATAAATAAACACTAAAGTCAATGACACTATTGCTCTGGCAATGAATACATCTTGTGTATCCATTGTCTATTTACCATTTTAGATTACATTGAGCTTGAGAGATTAAAGGTTCACGCGTTATTATTGCGTCTAAATTTGTTTACTGATTCAAAAGATAAAATAATTTCTTTGAAGCGACCCACTTTACCGACATCCATCGGAACAGCCTACGTATAATATCAAAATACTGTCACGATTTATAATAACAAAATATTCCACATTTTCTACCATGATATTTCTTACTATGATATAGTGAATAACAATAAGGGAACAAGGTAACCAAATTTGGACACAGCTTAACATTTGTCGACTATGATCGATCCACGTGTCAAAGAGGTTAGGTTATTAGATTGTCGGATTCCATTTATCAGATCGTTCTTTCAAATGAGCCGTTTATTTTGAAAGTGGCCTAAGTCCAAAAAAGTCAAGCCAGCTGTTTTAATATTTACATTTCTTATCTTTTCATTTTTAAACAAATTATAACTAACATATTTAATATCACTAAGATTTTGTACAAAGAAAATTAACTGATTAATGAGAATGATAAAGATTTTTATTTTGAAAGTGGCTTAAGTTGCATTTTAAGAGTTTCAAACTGATATAAAGTATATTGTGCAATAAAATTTTGAGATAAGAGCTATGTTTTTTATTATTGAAGTAGTAGTGTTCGATTAGCTCAGACAGTGATTTTCCAAATAATAATAATTCCATTAAATATAGAGAATTTTATTTCAACTAAACCTCTAGGGGACGCGGTTTTAGAAGGTTAAAAAATACTAGTAGAGGAAGGGTAAATTGGTTAAAAATATGTTAGGTGCGATTTTTGAGAACAGAACCATATGAAATGTTCTATAAAATATCAATGAAACTACAATAATATTGAATTGACACCACTGTACAAAAATATAAGACCAATCGTAACATTAAAATACAACAATATAATAGACTTATTACACTATACACCACTTGTACACCATAATTATTTTAAATCCCTCCCCCATACACAAATTGGAGAAGAATGAATTATAAATTAGGAAATATTATTTGAATGCAACATTTCTTCAATAGCGAATAAAAGTTGGATACTTTTTAATTTCATAACACAAAATTGTAATATTTTTTTATTTTAAGGGAATTTTATTTTTTCAAGGGACTTGTGCCTTTTTAAAAATTAAAAATTTCATTAATTTTGAAAGTGGCTCAAGTCCATTCATAGCCATCAAAAACGTGTTATCTTCTAAACAATGTTTACTAATTAGGTTGGTAAATTATACACCCTTAGAAACACAAAAACTATATATTATACTACCATGTTACCAATATTTTTAAATTTATCAAAACGCAAACCGTTAAGTATCTTGATTTAAAGAAAATATATACCTGGAACTCCCATGTACTTACGTTCCTTCTTTCTATTTTAGAACACGACTTCGCTTGGAAAGCCTAGAAGATGCTGTGATCGTGGAAGGTGACGACGACAAACTAACCGATCGACGAGGCTGTCCGGCATACGTAGCACCGGAAGTTCTACGCTCGGGACGAGCATATTCCGGCAAAGCAGCCGACATTTGGTCGCTTGGCGTTCTTCTGTACACGATGCTGGTCGGCCGTTACCCGTTCAACGACGCTGAGCACACGTCTCTGTTTGCGAAAATCTCACGTGGTCAATTCGCAGTGCCGGAAGGCCTGAGCCCACGTGCCCGATGTTTGATCCGCTCGCTGCTGAGAAAGGAACCGTCCGAAAGGCCGTACGCGGAGGACGTGCCGAGGCATCCATGGCTCGCGAAACCGTTGCGAGTCTGCACCACGTCCAGCAGATCCTCCTGCCAGGATCAGATCGTACCAGAGCTACCTAACAATCCTCAAGACTGACTCTTCCGAGAGAGAAAAATATATTCCGCGTGCGCTGGACCTAGCTTTTCTTGTTAATCCTCTATTTGGACGGAAATTTCACGCGGATAGGGAATTTTCATTCTCGAGTTAACGTGGCTTTTGTTTTTTTTTTTTTTTTTTCTTTTCACCCTTTTCTCCTCTGGTTCTTACGTCTCTTGGCTTTTTATTTTCCATTAACGATGTAAAGTTGGATACAGACGCCTGGTTATATACTACTGCGAATATATACTACTGTTTTCCAATGTTGACATACATATATTCTTGATAATGGGGGACTAAAACAACGATATTTAAGAAATATCTTCCGCAGGGATTACATTTTGCTGTATTTTTACAATTGAAAAAAATTTGAATCTATGCTAATGTATAACCGAGCACATGTAACTGACTCGTGTTGTTTTTGCATACAATGTTAACGCAAATATTGATAGAAATGCCATGCGTCGTTTTTCTTTTTACCACATATCGTGGATACGTAATTATCGCTGGAAGAAATATAGTGCTGAAATGTTGAAATTGTTCAAAAGCTACAATAAACATGTCTTGATTAGATGAGAATTGTTAGGAAAAAATATTATTATTTCTATCTATAATACAATTAAGAATCGGTCATTAACACACTATAAGGTTTCTTTCTTTCCATATGCTATCGTATATCATAGCTTTCGTGAAAAAAAAAAAACAAAAAAACAAAAATAGAACAGAGAAAGAGAAAAAAAGTCAAACTATCCTTGTGTAGTTGGTGGTAGTTTAAGAGCGAATTAATTCACAAAGTTCGAAAGCTAAAAATAAAATCTAACTGACTTTAAACACTTGGTACAACGAATTAAAAAGGATATTTAAAATTCAATTTAAAAATAATTCTTGAATATTCCTTTCGCAGACCCGTGAATACTTTGTATTTTAAACACTTTAAATAAAAAAATCGAATTCGTTACTCTGAGAAAATGTATCAAGTGCATAAACCTGACAATAAAAAATTGATCTTTCTTAGAATATCATAACTTATAACCACACCATATTTCTTCCATCTACCACGTTACATCATTTATGCAAAAGCCATGTTATTTGTCAAACGGATATATCAAATAAAGGATTAACTGTTAATTGTTGCATCGAGGAGTCATTTTGACTCCCAACCATTCGTTGTTTTTCTTCTTCAGTTTTCTTTCTTCTTTTGTTTCTTTCTTTCTTTCTTTCTTTTTTTTTTTTTTTTTTTTTAGTAGGAAGCTTAATGTTAACACTGTGACGACCGG